AGACGGTTGATAGAGAATTTGAAAAGCGATGAACTTCTCGAAGTTGAACGCCTTAAAGAAGCAAATGAGCAGGAAATCAGAAAAAGTAGAGCGCAACTTACACAAACACACGCCCTTGGAACAAACTACTTATACCACGACGAGAAAAGGCGACAGGCCGAGATGAAACTCTTGGAATGGACTATTGAACGGAAGAATGAAATAACAAAGGCAAAGATTAAAAACTTGCAAGCATTCTTTGCGACACAGAAAAATACCGAAAAGAGGAAAATGAAATCTTATGAAGATTACATAGCCTCGATGAAGAAACAGCTGAAAGAAATGCAGAAAGACGCGGAAAATATTCCAAAGTTTCATCCGGCTTGGAAGGAAACAACTCCCTATTCGCAATTGAAAGATCAGGTACCAATTTTATCATGTGAATAATATTAAGTTTATACATAGTCTTACTAGGGAAAGTTTTTACTTTTACTTAATTTGCGTATTTCGCACACTTTGAAGCTCCCTAACTCGGAAACAAGATCTATTGCGAGAAATTTTTTTCTTGATCTGCAATCAGAGGGTCCTAGAGTACACTTTAGCAAAGTTTCAGCAAAAGTTCAACCGGGGGGTAAAAAACGTTCCCTGGTTAGGGAAAACTTTGAGTTTTATATTCATGATCAAAAAAAATCACTATTCTCAGAGTCATTTCATCGGCTGTTATGCAGCATTTTTTGTTGTTTTTGCCTTTTCCCCTATTTCTCGAGCCTTCAAAACCCCAGAAAAAAGGAAGGCTCGATAAAGGGACTTTTTTTACTGCCTTTCTGCGGCCTTTTTAAAGCACCTCCCCTTTTGCGGCCATTATCCACCATTTCGACTTTTCCCGAGCTGGCCAGTTTCTAAATAACTCCAAACCGTAAAATGACCTTCTTCGTGAGGATGTTCATCTAATTTTAATTTTTAACCTTTTTCAATTTTTGATTATGAAAAAAAAATTCAGAAAATTGATTGATGTCGTTTTTCAGAAGCCGTTGCACAAGGATATGCAGTGGATTAGCCGGGTTTTGAATCATGCGGACCAGATCCTCGAAGAGAACTTACGAGAAAGAGAAAAAGTACAGAGGAAAATCCAAGGCCTAGCCGATGAAATGGAATTATCGTTGCAAGACGAACGCGCGATTTACGAAAAATATATCAGAAAACTCGAGAAAAAGCTATGCTGGAATAGCAAGGTTCACCTTAGCCATTGCGTAACATGCGAACTTACGAATAATGATATCGAGACAAGACGCCTCATACACAATGACGAGGTTTTTTCGATCGAAAAAAGTTGGAACTATCAAAAAGGTTCTCTGAAGTCGTTGGATAACGTTCTAACTGACGTTGAAAGAGCGAAAAGACAGTTTTGGCGAGATATGAAGAGAATTAAAGAAGAAATCGAGTTTTCGAGTAGCATTTCGCTGTCAACTCCTACAATGCAATCTTTCGAGGTAGTCCAGCACAGATCGAACTTGGAGCATAAGGTGAGCTTTTTTTTCGATAGTTTAGGGTCAATTTGAATGAACTTTCACGCTTGGCAGAGCTTCCCATAAATTGATTATTAACTTCAACTTCAACTTTTTTTGTTCACTAACTAAGCTGATAGACTGAAATAATTCAAAACTAATTAAAACTAAAAATACTTTTTTTAAATTTAAGAGCCGCAATTAGCCTTTTATACGGAGTTTAGAGAAGAAATTCACTGAAAATTATATAGCCAGCAGGTGAAATTTCGCCTAATACCTAAAAAGATAACTGGATATTTTTGAGAAATTTAAAAAAATATTTATCCGGTTTTTTTCAGTCTCTAACTTCTTCTCAGTACCAGCAGCACTATCAAAGCTCTCCTGATTCCCATAACCTTTCTATTGTAAGTTTTTTAGATCCCCGTCAAACAGATTTATGCTCAACTTACATACATATAGAGATAAAGAAATCAGAAATAATTTTCAAAACTTATACTTCAGTATTGCTTTCTCCGACTAAACATTAAAAACACCGTGGATTTCACTGAAAATCCTTCAGATCCTTTTTTGCGATTAATCATTTCACTTCATCTTCAGTTCACACTTTACTAATTCATCGCATTGAACTAACCTATTTTTATCAATTTTCAGAGTGGGTATGCTTTCCAATCTTCATTCAACAGCAACTGCACCACTAACTATTCTTATGTAAGCTTTTAAGCCTTAACAACTCCCAAAGTACCTAAAAAATCCCTTCAATTAGTTTTGTTTTTCATTCAAGTGAAAATTGATCTAATGCGAGCCTGAAAATTGCACTTTGAATACAATTTACATTCAGACTGCAATTTCTACTAACGCTCCGATGCACGCTTCAAATTATCATAGTCAGGCTTTAATACCTATTGTGAGTTTTAACGCCTTTAAAAGTTTCCATGAAGTAAAACATACTGTTTATTGCATCTTCAATGAAAGAATACATGTGCAATTCAGGGTTGCACGGAATTCCGTTACCCGTCTTCCGCTTACCCGTCTTCCGCATACATTTCTCTTCCTTAACCCGTGTTCCGTTTTATGCAAAAACTTTTTTTGTTCCTTAACCCGTGTTCCGTCTTCCGAAAAAAATTTTTTTGTTCCGTAACCCGTGTTCCTTCTTCCTTTTTTGAAAATTTCACTTCCGCGCAACCCTGGTGCAATCGACTTTCATTGGTTTAACTGTGTTTAAACGTCGGTAGGAGCTGTGGCTTAGGCAGAGAAGTTGTGAATTTCGCTCGTAGAACATCAGGTACAAGGTCGTAGGAAGAAGTACGGTGCCGGCTTTCCAAAAGCCGTTGGCAGAGATTGAGCATTTTCGCTGCATGCAGCTTCCAATTTTATCTACCCCGGAGGGATGAAAGGCTTGGTCGATCTCGGGGGGACTCGAACCTACGACCTCGCGGACGTTAGAAATGAGTCTTTACCAGCTGAGCTATGCCGCCCCAAGTAAAGCATAATCCCAGGAGTTTTCAAATTTCCCAACAGGAATTCCAACTCTATTAAGACAATTCATTGAACTAACCTATTTTTATCGATTTCCAGGGTGGTTATGTTCTCCAATCTACATCCGATTTCGCGAACCACAACCACACCACTAACCTTCCTATTGTAAGCTTTACCTCACCAATTACCAAAGAAACTCGCTCGATTAATTTCACATGCAAGTGAAAATTGACTACAAGCTTACCTTTTTTTGAATTGCACTAATTGAATTAATTTTACGTTCAGGCTGCAATTTCTACTAACACTCCGATGCACGCTTCAAATTATCCTAGTGAGGCTCTAATACCTATTGTAAGTTTCAAGCTTTCAAAACTATCCGGAGTAGAAAAAAATCAATTTAAGGCTTTTTTTCAATTTTGGGGATTAAACCGCTTTTAAGAGGTTGAATTTTCGAAAAATGCGTTTTTCAGACGGGATCTTCCTCTACAACTCAGGATTACGCTTCAATCCACCCAAGCCCTGTGAGTTTTTCACATATTCGATTTTCAAAGAGCCAGATCTAACATTTATATATTTTAAAGATATGGAAAAAAACTTCTCACAATTTTCCAGCAGGAAACTCCACATTCGCCTCAATTTCAAACTCCGCCCTACCCAACTACTGATCCTCATCCGGCCTCACAGTTTCGAAAGAAAGATGAAGAAGTGAATAAGAGGGAGCTCTTGAACAAAGTGATCGAGCAGCAAAAGGTCCAATAGCTTCTACATAACCTCCTGTATTTCGAATACTTTCAGTTTGTGGAAGAAGTCAAAAAGGAAACAGAGAGCATGAGTATGGCCGATATGATGCGAAGATTCGGCATAAAGGTACAATGTCAAAAGAAACTTTCTAAGACATTAACTTAATTTATTTTTTTAGTTCAAAATTTGGGAACTTTTTTTCGGCAAAATTTTTTTCTGAATTTTTTTATATTAACAGGTTTAAAAAGGGTCCATGTCCACTTTAAATGATGATTATTAGACAAAGAAACAACAAAAATTAAAAATTAACAGATTTTCTCCACTCACGACATCTTGAAATACCAATCGCCTGATTTTGGACTACAAGAAATGAGTGTTCCAAAAAATGTTCACGCATTTCAGCCTACGGTCGAATTTTTGATTTAACTTTCCTGAAATGTATTTCAGGTCCTCTTGATTCCAAAACATCGAAAGAATGCTCGCAATAGTTCTTGCTTTTGTGAAGCTTCGAATTTTGCAAAACACGCAAATTATGGCAAAAAAGAAACGCATTTAAAGATTTTGAAGCGTTTTAACTTAAAAACAGAACTATTGCGAGGAAATTTTTCCTTTTTTTCTGTAATTATAAGAGCAAGATTTTTCTTGTTAGTACAACTGGGGACCAAAAAACCGTTCCCTAGTAAGAGCAAAACAGTGTATTAAAAAAAACATTTCAAACAAATGAAAGTGCTCCAAAATTTCACACGAGTTTTTGTCCTACTGTTAGGGGGCGCGAAGCCCCGCCCCTTCACGCCACCAAAAAGATTTTTTTTTGTTGCAGAAACGGTTTTGAGGCGTTTATACTAGCTAAAGTTCCACTTTAAAAATAAACTGTTTCTGTTAACGTATGTAATCGACAACACTCTACAAGACTGAAAAACTTTTAAACTATGTATTTTTCAAAAATAAGCGAAAAAGTAAGATTTAACACAAAAACTGACAAGTTTCACAAAAATCGTCGCGTTTCTGAAAACCAAGTGAGGAACGCTTCCGAATTTTGAGTATGTTATACATTAACATTTTTCTTTATTTTTTTGAATAAAAATTTAAAAATCTAACGACGCGATCGAAGCTCGTAAAGTGACACCAAACTTTGAAGCTGAAATGCGAAAAAAATTTTTCAGCGACATGGTATACTTTTTATTTGATTGAATAACTAACAGTGTGTCCAAAAATAACAATTCAAAATGAAAATAATTATTGGGACAGCGAATCAAATTATATTTGGATTTTACCAAAACCTCCTTTTTTTCGCCTGCCTCCTTCACGCATGAGAGAATAGGATCGCGTCTATACTTTTTGATCAGGTTATTAAGCGTTCAAAAACTCTATCAATGAAAAAAATTATGAAAAATCAAACGACGCGAAAAAAATAACGGCTTTGAAAACCTCGAAAAAAATGGCAATTTTTGAAATTTTGGAAGAATTCGTGCAAGCATTCGTAGCTGTGTTTGCGTCAAAACACACCGATGCGCCATTTTAAATGTTGCAGGAGCCGTTTTTGGAGTCAAATTACACATTTTCACACGTTTTATTTCGAAGTAACATTATTTTTTTCACTTTTTTTCTTTTTCCAAACCAAATGATAATAATTTTTTTCTGATTAGAAAAAAAGAAAAAAAATAAGCTGAAAAATTCCTTCTAACCTTTTTTTCTAAGTAGTTTTTTTGATATTTTTATCAAAAATTCTTATGAGGATTGTACAAAAGATTCATACCAAAACATGAAGCTCAGTCCGGACAACCTCTCAGAACAGAAAACCGATTCGAAAACGGTTCAGAAATGCGCAAAAACATTTAAAAAGAAAGCGTGCGGCAGCGGATAAACCGTGAGATTTTGCCTCCAGTTGAACGCCGCGCGCGCTAGTTTTTTGCCCATAACTTTTTTCTTAGTGGAGCTTTTTTCTAAAACTGAACGGATTATGAAAATGGACAGTCTCCTCTATCGAACAGTGTAAAAAACATACTTTTTGGATCGTTTTGAAGAAATGCGTGTATTTTCTTCACATTCCGTGTATTTTCTTCACTCGAATTGGTAGCTCTCTCAGTCGACCGAGGCTACCCTAGAGTGTACACGAAGTCCGTGCCCGAGCCCCACCATCACCGCCGTGCCCGTACCCGCGAAACTGAGGGATCAACTTGTGGAAGAGCGAGGAGAAGGACCGTAAGACCATGCTTTCAATCCAATCGACTACACGTTTTGACTTCTTTTTCGCCAAAGGCGGTGTTAGTGCCGCTCAAAAGAGCAATTTTTTCACCGCCTAGTCGATTCCATCTGACTAAAACAACCAATAAATATTGTATTGTATAAATGGCTTGCGGACCCTACCTACTGTTATCTTCAATGCGATTTTTCTTCAATTTTTTCTCACAATAAATATCCCACAAGTTTGGGCTTAACCAAATCTATCGTTGAAGATAGACGATGATATTCCACCGGTTGAGCCTTCCAGAGAAGCTGTTTCTCAAGAGCCAGAGCCAATGGACACTTCAGAACCGGTTCGTCTCCATTCAAACTATTACTTTTTCTTACGTTTCAGCCACCTCCAACACCTCCACAAAGTGAAAATAAACCCCAGAAGAAGACTCTCCCGCGATTCGAATTTCTCAACAGACTTCCCTCATCGGTTACAAGATATTTATTTTAAAAAATTTTGAAATTCCAGGAGGAACCAAAAATCTGGCAGAAACTCGAAATTATGCCGACAGCAAGGAAAAAGTCAAAACGTCATCAAAACTCAGTGGTAAATATTCAGAAAGATCCGAAATTCCCAATAATCAAGTATGAGCAATGTGAATCGCCCATCAGACTTTTTCAGAGGAACTTCAGACCTCTCAGTAGGAGTGAAAAAAACATTTTTTTCCATTTTTTTCCAATATTTTTCCAAGCTTCTACAAACTAGTTTAGAAAAAAATCCGCATATTCAGATGGGAAAAGTCGCAATTCACACACCGAATTCTTGGGAAAGTCAGCCTCGCAAGGAGAAAAGCGACATTGGTGAGTATTGATTACAGCTCATAAGTGGGCTAACAGGGTGTTTTTTTCACTTTCGGGCCCCCCTATTCATTCTGGTGGCTTTTTAAGCCGCGGAAAATGCATCCATATTATTTATCGAGCTTTTTAAAGTACATTTAGTAGGAAATTCGTTGCCTATCTTTTTGCCTAGCTCCGAACGGTAGATAAAATCGCGGGGAATCGTAAAAATAGCCTTATAAAAAATTCCAGAGCTGATTAGTCAATCTGAATTCTAGTTTTAATGGTACCAATGAATTGAGGTATATGCTCCAAATTTCCAACCTTCCGGACATTTTTTGACCAAGTTACAGTGTTTAAAAGTGTTATCACTTGACGATTTGCGTTTTCGAGATACGTTGGCTCAAAGGGGTATGGTAGAACCCTTCAAAAATCTATATCTTGACAAAAATTCGAAAACACTCAACCAAAGTTTGTAATAAGGTGCAATATAATTTTATTCAATTTTTAAAAATCTTACATCTCATTTTTGCTCATTATTGCTCATATTAGAGAATTTTTAACCGTCAAGTGATAACACTTTTAAACACTGTAACTTGGTCAAAAAACGTCCGGAAGGTTGGAAATTCGAAGCACATACCTATATTAGGGTAAACTCGAGATTAATAATGATTTTGAGCCAAAAAAATTGAAAAATTCAAAATATCAATTGCCGGTGGCCCAAAAAAATTATTTTTTTCTTAAAACTCCTCCAAAAAGGCCTGAAACTTGGTCAGATCATAAAACTCACTTTATAATGTGGAATAACATTGAAAACAGATCGATTCTCGGATTTTGGGGGTCTACGCTAAAAGTTGAAAGATTTCAGTTTTTGGAGTATTGACACCTAGCTGAATATACTTCTAAAATCCCGCGAAACAAGATAATAGTCTCATTTAATTTTTTTATCTTAACTTTTATAATCATTTCACATCGAAAGTTATCCGCCGGGGGTACGTACTTTTTCGAGGGGAGTACGTACTTTTTTTCAAAGGGGTACGTGATGACGTCACAAAAAAAGTAGTTGGTTAGCCCATGTATGTTACAGCTTTTTTTAAAGA